AAGATTAAAAAAAAAAATAACCAACTAACTTGAAAAAATAAATCAATAAATTACATACACATGCAATGTTTAATACATACATATATACATAACTCTCATAACAATCAGTACATATACTCACATATAATCCCAGGATCTAGATCTTCATAGTAACCATAGTAACAGATCTGTTGTAGCAGCATGGGGTGAAATTTTTCAAAAGCCCTCACATCCTTGAGCCTGGAGTAGATTGCATCCAGGTCCTGGCCTGAGCGATCACATGGCCTGCAACCATAGCAACAAGAGCCATCATGCATTGTGTTAGGTGAGATCCAGGCATTGTATGCAGATGTGTTCTATGTGATAATAAAGTCTCATCTATCTTCGCTGTTACGTAACCCTAGCTTTATTTAGAGTACTTGCGGTTTTATTACCCATAATGCCCCCTTTCCCAGGCAGCTTTATCTCTTACTGGGCTTTACTTTATTATTATATAAAAAGCAGTATTTATATCTACCAGCATATTGTATCTATATAGTACCCTGTCACCAAATGCCTCTGGTGTTTTGGGTGTAATTAAAATTATTTCTTATGACACATTCTTTGCTTAAATGTTCTTGTTGAAAGAGAATCAAGGCACAGTGATTATGTGTGCTGTTTCTACCCACAGACATTTTTTTTTTTTTTTGACACGAATATAAAACTGTGTGGTGGGTCCTGGAATCTACCATAATTAAGCTGGGGGAGCACAGTGATAAAAAACTGCTACGCTCCATAAATATAAAACAATTTTGCTATGTACAAAAAAGAGGACAGGGATGGCAAAATTGCTTGGGTTTTTCTAATTTAATTGTACAGAAAGCACTGAGAAAAAATACTTGAAAATTTCATGATAAACACTAGCTATTACTTGCATTAATAATGCATTATTAAAGGATAATGCATTATTAAAGGCTCAATATTTCATACAACCACTGATATATAAATATGCTGGCATTTTTCTATCCCAGCTATGACTGACTCCCATAGGCATGTAGAAATTACTCATTTCATATTGTTAAAAACTCAGTCTTACAGGAAGGAGTATTAAATTTAATTTATAAATAAGCAATTTCCTAATTCCTATTTTAATGGCAATTAAGTCTAAGTTAGATCTGGTGTGAACATGTACCGGCAATTGCGTGCACACACACACACACACACACACACACACACACACTGTATATACACACAGTCTGCATGCAAACACATGTTCACCCAAACAGCCAAGCACTCACACACACGTACACACATACACATACACACACACAAACACACACACACACACACACAGAGTGAGAGAGAGAGAGAGAAAGAGAGAAAATTACATGCATATGCAAATATGCATGATCACCTATACAGACAAACATGCATTTACATAGAGATGAGTGTATGTTGCTATATGAAACCTGAGCTGCTTTAGTAAATGTTCAAATTTATTTTGATGCACTAGTAATAAACATGCCTAAAATTCTTTCCAATCTGAATTAGTCTAACAACAACTGGTATTATTCACATTATCAGCTGTATAATGTGGTTCCTGTTGTCAGCATACACTATATTAAAATATAACTAGAGGATCAGAGAGGCGATACCGCCTCCGAATATTGTACCACCAACTGGAGCAAGCGCATTTGTATAGACCCCCACATACACAAAATAAGGGACACAGCCACCAGTCTTGTGCTTGACAAGCTGTAAAAATGCAATCAACAAGAATTTTCAAAATATGCAAAAAATATATATAACTAAAAATGGTACAATCAAATTTAAGTTCATCGTAAGGTAGGTCAAAGGTCAATTTCAAGGTCACAGTAAATTGCCAGCATATGACTTCCTATTCAAGTTCAATAGTAACTATGGACCTATCTCTGCCAGTTTTGGAGTTAAAAGAGAAAGAAATTAGCAGAGTTCAGTTCATGATAATAAGTAGTTCAAAGGTCAATTTCAAGGTCACATTTAGATTGCCAGTATATGACTTCCCATTCAAGTTCAATAGTAACTATGGACCTATCTCTGCCAGTTTTGGAGATAAAAGGGAACCAAAATTTGCAAAGTTCAGCTCATGGTGAAAAGTAGGTCAAAGGTCAATTTTAGAGTCACATTTAGATTGCCAGTATATGACTTCCCATTCAAGTTCAATAGTAACTATNCGTGGAACGAGCTGAGATTATAGGTGACCTTAATCCAAGAGATGGGTACAGGGGCCCTTACCGTCTAGGAGGAGAAGCGGTAACGGTAGCCGTCCGGCGGAGCCGGCGGAATGATCCGGATGGGACCGAAACCATGTGTACCGCCAGCGCTAACGCTGGTGGTACAATAACTTGAAAATATATATTCTAATCTTACAAAAGAAAAAAAAAAGCTAAATATATACTGAACATAATCAATACAGTGGGTTAATCACATTAAATGGAATACCACCTAATTGGCAAAATCAATTTCCGAAAGCTTATGCCTCTATTCCTGATTATCTAACTTCAAAGAAATATAAACTTTGATTATCAGCTAAGGTCTATTTGGCTTAATTAACTTTGTAGCTGGAGAATTATCCATATATATAGGGTTAATTCCCAATAAAACTATCATTCTACATAGATCGATCCAACTGCAATTAGACTCAACAATGTCACATCCAACACAGTGTCACATCTAACACAGTACAACATTCAACAATGTCACATCCAACACAGTGTCACATCTAACACAGTACAACATTCAACAATGTCACATCCAACACAGTATCACATCTAACACAGTACAACAATCAACAATGTCACACCAACACAGTATCACATCTAACACATTATCACATTCAACAATGTCACACCCAACACATTGTCACATCTAACACAGTATCACATTCAACCATGTTACATCCAACACAGTGTCACATCTAACACATAGCTCCACCCAAAAGAATGTCAAATCAAATACATTACATTACAAAAAAATTCTAAAAGCTCCATATCTCCCACCAAATCTCCACACAAAATGTCACATCCAACACAGTGTCACCTCTTACACATTTCCCACAAACTTTGAAAACTTTCACACGGATCCACTGTCTCATTACCTTACTGTTAACACTGCAATATCCCTGGCATCAAACAGCATAGTCAGGAGTCAGCTCTATCCTCAGAGTCTGTTTAAGCAACTAGTATTCATTTGATGTTTTTTATCTAATGGTCATCAACTCCGCAATTGTTTCGTAGCTGGACACTCAGTATTGTTTTCACACAACTCAATGAGCACAGTTGTGCAATTAATCTGCAGTTCTTAAAACGAAATTAATAACGGTGAGAGCTCCAACTGATTTTGTCCGAGTGACGGCGATTGCTTTAAACTTGTTATGATCCCATCAGACCATTCACTGAGCTGACAGCAGTTTATGGCAGAGAATAAAGCACAGTGGTGATAAAAACACCATATACTTTGGAAAGAAAGCTGGACAACAGATAAGTGTGTCCAAGCAGCGTCCACCCTGGTCAAGTGTCCAAAAGTGTTAATCTCTATGGTTGCAACACATATTTATATTCAATCTCATATTCAAGGGTCACTGGCTCTGTTACACTTAATAAAGACAACTGTGTCAGTTCATCGACTTCAGTTCTCTAACTGTTAATATAAGAGTAGCTTCATCCTGTTTTCAACAAAACTGACCTTACAATAATTTTATTAGGGAGTATCATTGACACTGTGCATTACACTAATGACTAGATAACGAGGCAACTGCTCAAGTTCATTAACTTTACTTCTCTGTTAGACATGTACTTGAAGAGCTAGACTTGAGTGTTACCACTCTTCAACCATTACACATTGACACATTATTGTGTTCTTCACAAGATATTGAAAAAAACTGCCTACAAGTTCCTTGAATATTTACTTCAGCTCTGTGAAACCCAAGTGTTTCCCTTTAAGTCCAGCACAACAGGCTGAACCACATACAGAAGAGCAAGATATATATTCTGTACAGCAACTGCTGAGTTCATTGATATTCATCCACTGTTATTCTACGAGATATGAATTAGCACTGTCTACACTTACAATAACACATTCAATTCCCAGTTGTTGCCTATGACATACAAACCATTGGGAGGTGACATCAGTTAATTGCTGCTTTACTTCATGATTAGCCTTAAAATGACAACAATTTAATTCAGTGACAGCAGTGATCTGTCATTCCGTATGGATAAATACAGGTATCTTAATTCTACATTTAGAATGCTTCGTGTTACATTCATTTAGCTTACATGTACTTTCAAATCAATGGCATATATTGTGCTAGCTTGTTTTATATAGTATCTGTCGATACGTTTTCATCTAACAGAATTATCATCAACACCTGTATATGTTTTGTTTGGGTTCAGGCATTTTTATCTTAATTAAAGCAACAGTTCTTTGGGTTCAGATATAGCATCAGTTGTCAACTATAAATACAAATCTGCAGTACGTGTCAGCTACTGCTAATAAGGACATTGTAGTGAACCAGGCCTGTAGCCAGCAATTTCAAAAGGGGGGGGGGGGGGGTTCTGAAAAAGTGGATCTTTTACATAGATCACATTTTACCCGGTGGGGTTCTTATCCTGACAATTAAAAAGGCCGGTTCATACAACACCCACTCTGGTTACGGGCCAGTAAATTGTTATCTTTTCAGGGTAGTCTTGCTTGTTTCCTGTTTCCTGCGAAACTTAAAAATTTCTCATCAATGACGGATAGGTGAGGTTTATACAATGAAGACACGTAGGCAGGAAACAAGATCCTAAAAACCATATCCTGTTTTCTTTCCTGGTAAATATTTAATACGTCTTGGTGCAGTGCGACCACACTTGACTGACTGAATGGCGTCACATCTTAAACAATGTTTCTTAATTGTCACAAGTACATTTAGCACATGTACACTGTACAGCAAGTCATCGCTTTGTTCGAGTTCAGACAGTTTTGTCTTTGCAAAGACAATAATTCTTCAGGTTCAGTGGCATCAGTTTTCAATTATTCTATTATGTTTTGTTAAAAGTTCAGTTTACTTTCAATTGGCTTATCGTCACTGATATGTATTTATATTTATAACAACAGTGCTTCCTTAAACAAAAGTACATACATACAAAACTGGTTACGTAAATGATAATATATGTATATCTACAATACTGTCTGAAATGCCAGTGCTCAGACAATGAACGGTGATATTTTCATAACAGTCTTAATTGCTCAAGGGAGTATTGCATCAAGTCACACGTACAGTTAGA